TCCAGATGAAGAGGTCTCCAGGTGGGGGGCATCAGGGGTGGATCGAGATGAGAAGGAGAGGGGGATGGGGCCTCCTGAGGACGAGGGGGAGGCCCCCAGAGGAGGACGATGAGCAAGGGCCTCCAGTGGAGACGGAGGGAAAACGAAACGGGGAGCAAGACGAGGCGGACCACGTGGGCGCCGCTGAAAGGGGGGGCACTAAGTGGGGGCCGGGTGAAAGAGGTGCACTTCGCGGGCCCTAGAGGCGCCCCCCTTGGGGGCCCGAGAGGGCCCCTTGAGGAGCCCCCTCTTCTGCGGCCCTCCCTGCCCCCCGCAATGCATCTCCCCCCCCCCATGTACGCGACGCCCACACCACGATGCGGAGAACGAGCCCGGGGCCTAAGGTGAAGTCGGGCGTCCCCCTACAGGGGGATTTTCGACGAAAAATAAAAAACACTCAAACAATACTCCCAAATTGTCAAAACAAATTCAAGAAATAATCCCCAGACTATTCTTTGACTATTTTTGAATAATCCCCCTGTAGAGGGACAGGCCCGACTTCAGCCTAAGAGGGTTCTCCGAGGATGAAACAAAAAAGGGAAAAAAGAAAAGTAAAGAAACAAAAAATGAGATTAAAAAAAAAAAAAAGGAAAAAATGAAAATCTAGGAAAAGAAAACACGAAATAGGAGGGAAAAGGATGAAGACCAGGAGAAATGGAGTGAGTCGGCTGGTGAAGCAAAGTCTCCCCGCCTCTCCTCGCAAGAAAAAAGAAGAAGGATGAAAATAAAGAAAAAAAAAAGAAAAAACGACGGTCTCTGGACGCCTCCGAGGGCCTCTGCAGGGACCTCTCTGGGGACCGTCGACAGGCTGCCGGAAACATCCGAGTACACTGAAAAAAGCCTGCCAAATGCGCGCCGGAGCTTGGCAAGGCACCCTGGCGGCGTTGTCCCGCCCGCCCGCATGCGTTCTCCAGCTCCTCCTCCTCCTCCTCCTCCTCCTCCTCCTCCTCCTCCTCCTCCTCCTCCTCCTCCTCCTCCTCCTCCTTCATTCCTTCTTTAAAAATTCTCCCTGTCGCACCCCGAGGCTCGTTTTTAGGGCGGGCCAGGCGTTTCGCCGGAGACTTCCTCACCCCTTATGACCCTGAAGCTTCACAATTGGCAACAGTTTCACAGATGGAGGGCGGGTCGCTTTCAAAAGAGATTCACGGATTGAGGGGAACCCGTTTTCAAAATGTGGCTCTCGACATAGCGCCGCGCATATTCTTTTTAAACGTTTGCAAGAGTTTCAAGGATTGTTGGCGACCCGTTGTCAACATGTGGCTCGCGCCTATGCGCCGTGCACATTTTATTTACGAAGAATTGCAAGAGCTTCACTGATTGAGGGGAACCCGTTTTCAAAATGTGGCTCTTGCCTTAGCGTCGCGCACATTGGTATTACAATGTTCAAGAATTTGTCGGATTGAGCGCGGTTTCTTTTCAACATGTGAAAAACCGCCAGAGTTTCACGGATTCCGGTTCAGGGTTAGGAGGGTGCAACAGGTACTTTCGTTCGCGGTGTTGAAGTCTCAAGAGTGGCGTTCTGGCGCGATTCAGGGTCGCCAAATAGCAACAGTCAGGTTAATCCGGGGCGTTGGCGTCCCGAGAACAATGTTTTGGCATGCTTCATGGTCTTCAAACCGTTGTCTTGCCTTCTAACAAGGCAGTTCCCTCAATGGACATGAACCGTTGCAGGGTCCTATGAAGAGGGAGTTTGGAGAGAGATTTCTTTCCAACATCGTTGACGACCCTTGGGTTTGCACTGGTCCTCCTCCTCCTCCTCCTCCTCCTCCTCCTCCTCCTCCTCCTCCTCCTCCTCTCAGCCTGGACCTCCCCTACAACCCGGCTGAATCACCTAGAACCGCCGGCCTACTCCTGCTCAGTACACAATAAGCCTCTGGTTGCCACTCCCCCTCCCCCTCTCTCCCTGGACCTGGACGGGCTGGGCCGCGGGTCGTCAGAGCGTCCAAGATAGCCTCGGAGAGAAGGCCCAACTCATTGATTTTATGTACACAGGTTTTCTTTGTTTTTCCCAACCATCCTGTGGTGTTGGGTCCTCGTTTTGAAGAGACGTCGCCCCGCGTTCCTCCTTCCTCCTCCTTCCTCCCCCCTCCTCCCCCTCCCACACCCATTCTGGCACACCCCTCACACGTTTCGTGGCCCCATAGGGAGCTCCACCGAAGGCCCCAGTGGCTGCGCCCGCATGCGGTTCCACCCCCCATTCTGGCACAGCCCTCACACGTTTCGTGGCCCCATAGGGAGCTCCACCGAAGGCCCCAGTGGCTGCGCCCGCATGCGGTTCCACCCCCCATTCTGGCACAGCCCTCACACGTTTCGGTGGCCCTATAGAGCTCCACCGAGGCCGCCAGTGTGCTGAGCTCGCATGCCGGTTCACTCCGCATTCTGTGCACACCCCTCACACGTTTCGTGGCCGCCATAGGGACTTCCACGAAGGCCCCAGTGGCTGCGCCCGCAATGGCGGTTCGCACCCCCCATCTCTGGCAACACCCCTCAAAACGTTTTCGTGGCCCCATATGGGGAGCTCCACCCGAAGGCCCCAGTGGTTGCGCTCAGCATGCGGTTCCACCCCCCATTCTGGCACACCCCTCACACGTTTCGTGGCCCCATAGGGAGCTCCACCGAAGTCCCCAGTGGCTGCGCCCGCATGCGGTTCCACCCCCCATCCTGGCACACCCCTCACACGCTTCGTGGCCCCATAGGGAGGTCCACCGAAGGCCCCAGTGGCTGCGCCCGCATGCGGTTCCACCCCCCATTCTGGCACACCCCTCACACGTTTCGTGGCCCCATAGGGAGCTCCACCGAAGGCCCCAGTGGCTGCGCCCGCATGCGGTTCCACCCCCATTCTGGCACACCCCTCACACGTTCCGTGGCCCCATAGGGAGCTCCACCGAAGGCCACAGTGGCTGCGCCCGCATGCGGTTCCACCCCCCGTTCTGGCACACCCCTCACACGCTTCGTGGCCCCATAGGGAGCTCCACCGAAGGCCCCAGTGGCTGCGCCCGCATGCGGTTCCACTCCCCATTCTGGCACACCCCTCACACGTTTCGTGGCCCCATAGGGAGCTCCACCGAAGGCCCCAGTGGCTGCGCCCGCATGCGGTTCCACCCCCCATTCTGGCACACCCCTCACACGTTTCGTGGCCCAATAGGGAGCTCCACCGAAAGCCCCAGTGGCTGCGCCCGCATGCGGTTCCACCCCCCATTCTGGCACACCCCTCACACGTTTCGTGGCCCCATAGGGAATTCCACCGAACGCTCCAGTGGCTGCGCTCGCATGCGGTTCCACCCCCCATTTCGGCACACCCCTAACACGCTTCGTGGGTGGCTCCATAGGGAGCTCCACCGAAGGCCCAAGTGGCTGCGCCCGCATGCGGTTGCACCCCCATTCTGGCACACCCCTCACACGTTTCGTGGCCCCATAGGGAGCTCCACCGAAGGCCACAGTGGCTGCGCCCGCATGCGGTTGCACCATCTTTTTCGTCACGCCCCTCACACGTTTCGTGGCCCCATAGGGAGCTCCACCGAACGCCGCAGTGGCTGCGCTCGCATGCGGTTCCACCCCCCATTTCGGCACACCCCTCACACGTTTCGTGGCTCCATAGGGAGCTCCACCGAAGGCCCTAGTGGCTGCGCTGGCATGCGGTTCCACACCCCATTCTGGCACACCCCTCGCACGCTTCTTGGCCCCATAGGGGGCTCCACCAAAGGTCCCAGTGGCACTGCCCGCTTGCGTCCGCCACCACCCAGCACAGCCCTTGTTCCCTGCGCTTCACCCACCCAGAACAGCGCTTCGTAGCCCTATAGGGAGCTCCACCAAAGGTCCCAGCGGCACCGCCCGCATGCGTCCGCCACCACCCTGCGCAGCCCTTGCTCCCTGCCTGCGTTTCACCCACCCAGTACAGCGTTTCGTGGCCCCATAGGGAGCTCCACCGAAGGTCCCAGTGGCACCGCTCGCATGCGTCCGCCACCACGCAGCACAGCCCTTGCTGACCGCGTCTCACCCACCCAGTACAGCGTTTCGTGGCCCCATAGGGAGCTCCACCGAAGGTCCCAGTGGCACCGCCCGCCTGCGTCCGCCACCACCCAGCACAATTGCGGCATTCACAACTGCATATGGTTGGGTCCTTCGCCAAGTTAATTTTTTCTCCAGTTAGACGCCAAATATATGCAACGCGGCCGTGGCCGTGCCCGTGGCCGTGCCCGTGGCCGTGCCCGTGGCCGTGGCCGTGCGTGGCCGTGGCCTTAGCCTGCACCGCGTCGGTCGCAAGCCGCGGCCGAGGCCGTGACCTCGCCAGCCGCAAACTGGAGGCCTCGGCGAAAGACGCGGCGCAGTGCCGCAGGGCCACGCTGAAGGGGTCGCACCCGCGACGGCCGGCGCAGTGCTGTAGGCGCACGGGGCCCTGCAGAGCAGGGCCCCCACGGCCGTGATTAATCAGCACCCTCCTGCCGCCCAGTTGGGCGACCCTCGCGGAGTGTAGTATCCCGAAACAGGGGTTTTAGACCCACTGCGGTTTCCAAGGTCGATTGCGTGCCCGTTCAGTGCGGCAAGAGGCGCAGCAGCGGGAGGCGGGAGGCGGGATGAGGGAGGAGGGAAGAGGAGCCGGGGGAGGAGAGGAAGAAGAGGAAGGAGGGGAGGTGAGGAGACGCGGGTGCGCCGCGGCAGGGAAGAAAACCAGAACCCTACGAAACATGTGGGGAACAAAAACCTCACGCGCGACCTGGTGGGCGCGCAAGGGGACTGCCGAACGTCCGATGCACTCTTTGGTGCCAATCCTCTACGCAAGCATTCAGATTGAGATTGCTGATACGACATCAGCTGGCATTGAAAGCAGTGCCTAGGCCACACGGCTGGCTGGCTGGCTGGCCGGTAGTGGAGCGACAGGAAAAGCGAGAGGAGAAGGAGAAAGGAAGGAATACCGCTGCGGCGCATTCCCGTGATATGCGTGGGTGAGCGCTCGGAAGGCCTCAGAAGGAGCGCTGCCGAGAATCCCCCAAGTTGCTGATCCAATTCTTGCGTATCTTGTCTGCCTGGGACTGAGGCTTGAGTAGCGATGGAGATTGTGGAGATTTCGAAGAATTCGCGCTTTCTCGAACAGGAATCATCACAGACATTCGATCCTCGGGGCGTACCTCTGCGGGCAACCGCGTGACCCTGCGACGCACTCTATCTGCGTCAACGACGCTGCCAACCCTTGACGCCTCTCTGCTCTCCAATTGCATTCCGTCTCGAATACTCTCATCGAGCTGATCCATCTTCGCTTTCATGAACTCCTGTAGCCCGATGACCTCAGACATGCTCACGGGCTTTCCCTTACGGAGGCGCACGATGACAGAGAAAAAATCTTGATATGTAATCGCGGAGTCTTCAGTAGGAAACAAGACCTCGGTCAACATCAAGAGCCCGTCGACGTCGGTCCCACACGCTCGAAGAGTTTCTAGCACGTCGGCGTTCTGCATGATCAGCTGGAACGTATCACCATTGATCTGCCGGTCACCGTTGTCATCCATATAACACTTGACGACCCCCTCAAGATGGCGCTCGAGGTAAGCAATCTCCTCTATGTCCTTATCGTGCAGCCTTGTTTCAATGGCGACGTTACAAAAAACACCAACAAGCATGTTCAACAGCCCGAAATAGGTCAGGAACACGAGCGCGGCAAACACCGACGCTTCGAAGATCGCGTGATGAGCACGCAAGTCGTCGAATAATTCACTAAGACCGTCCATGGCAACGCCGTGGGAAAGCAGCGACAAGATCGTGTGACCTACAGACCCGAAGTACCGCTCCCTCAGATGCTCGCTGCGATGGCTGGTGGCGGTGAGTAGCACGCCACAGGTGCACAGGAGGACGGCGATAAGGATCCAGACGTCAGCCGCCGAGCGCATGCCACTGGCCATCCCGTTCAGAATAGTCCCCACGGCCCGCCTTGCGCGCGTCAACTTGAGCAGCCACGCCAGCCGCGTCAGTCGCAGCAACTGGTAGGCGAGCAGGGAACCTGCGGCGGCTGGCACGTGGGGGGCCACGAGAACCTCCAGCACGATTGCAACAGTGCACGCTGCGTCAAGGCGGAACCAGGGGCTGAAAATGCACTTTGACCTGTGCTTCATGCTCATGATTTGGAGCACGATCTCGACAATACTGTAAAGCGTGAAGATATGCTCGATTATAATGGACTCTGTGCCCCGATTCCACAAACTCTGGTTGAACTCGCCAAGCTCCGTGCTGATCCCGATCCATAGTAGGTTCAGCAACGTCAATAGCATCGCGACCACGAAAAAGACGGAGCTCTCAGTCATCCTAGTGCAGATGTTGTCGGTTTTTTTCAGAATAAACAATTTGACTGGAAAATGTGTCGACTGGCCCGAGGTGACTGAAAGACAGGTCACCCTCCTCTTCTCCTTCACCTATTCCGAGCAAGCCGTGCTGGCGCTTCTTGCACTTCTCGTAGGACTCCCAGCGTGACCCGCCATGGAAAATCGACCTCGCCATGGCGTGGGCATGACGCCTCCACTCGACGTGCCAAACCTTGACACCAACCCGGCGAACGCTCCGGATGTTACGTGACTTGGGGTCCAACTGGACCATATCGACGAAGAAAATCTCCATCACCGTCTTACCATCCTGCCCGCTCTTGATGCGCACCTTGGACTGGCCGCGCTGGTAGGCCTTCTCGATCTGGCCATTCTGATCCGCAGTGTAGTTACGAAAGCCACCCTTGGTGCGCTGCCACTGCCACACGCACTGGCCGCGGCCGAGCTGACCCACAGCCTCGTCCTCACAATCATCCTGGCTTGCCGCATCCGCCGAACGTCCTCTCGGGGACAAACTTGGAGGCTTGTCCTCCTCTGCTGAAGGAGACTTCGGGCGGAACTCTGAGATTGGGCTGGCTGTCCCGCGCCGCGGCGTTGCCTGTGGGCGCGTGGTGCTGCTGGGCGTCGTGCACGCGCGGGAATCGGCTGTCGTGCGCTGCTGATGGGGGCTCGCTGATGCCTCTGGCCTGGCTGGGTTGGGCGTCGCGGTGGGCGTCGCTGTGCTCGTCGCGGGGCGTCCTCGTGGTGCCCCGCGGGGACGCGCCCGCGGGCGTGTCCCTTGGGCGCGCGTCCGGGGCGCGCCCGTGGGGCGTGCCCTTGGGCCGATTTCGTACCGATTCATCGTTCTGCTGGTTCGGCAGCCTCGAGATTTCTTCCTCGAGGTAGCTCACCTCGAGGTTGTGGGCCACAAACAACTTCACGAGCAGTGTGCGGAACTCGCGGGGTGGGGGGCGACAGGAACGAGGGTCCTGGCCGGGCTGTTCTATCGGCGTGTCGGCTAGGTTTTCGACGTCCGCGCAGCCCAACCATGATTTATGCATTGAGGCAGTGCTGTTCTGGCCGCGCCCGCGACCAGCGAGATATCCGACTGGGCACGCCCAGCGCTGGCGCTGGCCCGGGGCTTAAGCCAACATGACTTGAGCCAAAATGGTTACGGATTGATTTTATGCACACAGGTTTTGGCAAATGTTTGGCCTCCTGGGAGGGGGGGCCTTAATTAGGGAGCTCTCCTCCTTTGAGCGATCTCCTCCAAGATGGCCCCAAAGATGGCCTCCGAGGCTCCCCAGGGTGCCCCAAGACGGCCCCAAGGTGCCCAGGAGGCCCCAAGAGGCCACTCAGAGACCAAAGGGGGCCCAAGATGATGCCCCAAAGATGCCCCAACAAAAATCCTCCCAAAGGCTCACCAGAGGCGCCCAAGACGCCCTCAGCGGTCCCTGGGACTGCCAAGATACGCTCAAAACGCCCCAAAAGGATTCCAAGCAATTCTCGGAAGAAATCCGAAGAGGCTCCGAAAGGCATCCAAGAGGCTTCTGGCTTTTCTGCTGGCCTTCTTCCTCCTCCTCCTCTTCCTCATCCGCCTATTCCTACTCCTCCCCCTCACCCTCATCCTCCATTACTTCCATATCTGAAATCCTCCCTGTCGCACCCCGAGGCCAGTCGGAAAAGGCGGGCCAGGCGTCTCGCCTGAGACTTTCTCACCATGTACGGCAACAGTTTCACACGTGGAGGGCGGATGGTTTTCAACATGTGGCTCTCGCCTTAGCGCCGCGCGCATTGTTTTCAACAGCATGCAGAAACGCTTAACGGATTGAGGGCGGGTTGTTTTCGAAGTGTTGCTCTAATCCAGAAGCCCTTATAATGAGGACGAGAGGTCGTTTCAAAGCAGTCCCCTGGGACTGCTTTGAACGCTACAAGGCAATCTTCAAAGCAGTCCTCTGGGACTGCTTTGAACGCTTACCTCGCAAGGCGACGTGAGGGGCAGCAGCTGCAGGATGATGGTGGTGATGGCGATCGATGAGGAAGATGGCAATGACGTCAATGATGATTTGCCAACTGGTCTCGACGAAGCGCTGTCCGCAACTGCGGCCACAAACCTTCTGCTGCACTTGCCCGCAACTGCGGCCGCAAACCTTCTGCTGCACTTGCCCGGAACTGCGGCCATTACCAGCGTGTCGTTTCGTAGGTCCAGGGAGCGCGGTCGTTCCACGGCCCCGCGTGGCCCGCGTTCTGCGTCTGGTCGGGCATGCCCGCCCGCGTGCGATTAGGAGGCGAACCCTCCGTGGCATTGTCCGCAACTGCGGCGCGATTATCATCCCACCACTTCTGCTCATCAGCGCGCCATCCTGCCCAGCTCGACCACTCATCAGCGCGCCATCCCGCCCTCCACTCCCTCGCGGGATCCTCCGCCCTCCACGCGCCGCTTCCGCTGGCGCCAGAGGACCCAGCCGCAACTGCGGCATAAGAGGGGGTCGGAACACGACCTACCCAGAGGTGCCCCCCGACGCATTCCGACGCATTAATGCGTCATCTGACGCATTTTTGTTTTTATGTGTTTTTAATGTTAATGTTCCGGACAATTGCGTCATTTTCATTATCCGTTGCGCAGAAAAAGGACGCATTTAATGCGTCAGTTTGTTGTATAACATGCGATGTTTTTTCTTGATAAAATGCGTCAGGCTTGCGTGGCAAAATGCGTCAGAATGTTACATGCGTCAGACTGTTGCACCAAAAAGCGTCAGACTTTGCTACGTTATATAGCAGTTCGTGTAAAGTGTCGTGTATACGTGTATATATATATGTATATATAATATATATATATATATATATATAATTATATAGGTGTATATACATACATTTGCATATTTACATATATATATATATATATATATCTATATATAATATATATATGTATCATTCCTCCCCCCGAACCGCCAGCCCTTTTTTTTTAAAAAAAAAAAAGGCGGCGTTAACGCAAGCGCCAACCATGCCAGTGCGGGCATCCGCATTGCTGGGCAGCGTGCCAGCGCAGAGCTGCGCGGGGCGGCGGCAGCGCCAGCGCGCACATAACGGCTGCCCTCCTCCTCTTCTTCCTCCTCCTCCAAGTGACATTCATATACATATGCAGTATTCATACGTAAGGTGGAGGAGCAGGAGGAGGAGGAGGAGGAGGAGCAGCAGGAGCAGGTGGAAGAGAGGAGAGAGGAGGAGGAGGGGAGGAGAGGAGAAGCAGAGAGGCAGTACGAGGAGGCGAACCGGAAAGAGGAGAGGAGGAGGTAGGAGGAGGAGGAGGAGGAGGAGGGGGAGGAGCTAGGAGGCAGAGGACGAGGGGGAGGGGGTTGGGGGGCACGGACGCGCAGCGCGCTTTCTGTTTTTCCCAAGCTCTCCACGCGAGGAGCAGGGGGACGGGGGGGGGGGGCAAAGGCTGAGGAGAAGCAGGATGGGGCAAGAAGGAGGGGTGCGCAGGGGAGAAGCGCATGTGCAGAGGAGGAAGGGCAAGCGCAGAGACAGCAGGAGCAAGTGCAAGGGGAAAAAAAACAGCCAGAGCCAGATAGCAAAGCACGATTTTGCCCGCAAGCCGCTATATACATATGTATCCTGCGGCGCGCGGCTCACTTCGAATAGAAGTACATATCCTGCGCCTCCTTCTTCTCGGTGTCTGTCTCCTTCTCCGTCTCCTCCTTCTCCGCGTCCTTCTCCGCCTCCTTCTCCTCGTTGTTGCCCAGCGCCTTCGCCAATCCAGTCGCCTTTGTTCGGCGAGCGTATATAGGCTTGTACTTTAGCTGTTGCTGCTGCTGCTGGGTGTGCTGCTGCTGCTGCTTCTGCTGCAAGCTGCTTCCTCAACCATTCGGCCCGCTTCTCTCCCCTAGCCTCGCGCGCCTTGATCCCCTCGCGGTCGCCCGCGGGCCTACCACCCCGGGGGCAGAAGCAGGGGCAGGGGGGCGAGTGCGCGGTCCAGAGCCCAAGCTTGCGTTCACTAGCCCCCATCCTCCTCGTCACCCCTGCTGCTGCTCCTCCTCCTCCTCCTCCTAGGCCCTCCTCCTCCTCCTCCTCCTCCTAAGCCCTCCTCTTCCTCCTCCTCCTCCTCGACCCGAGGTTGGGTGGTGGTGGCGGTGGTGGTGGTGGGGGGGGGGGGGGCTGGCTCCTGTTCCCAAGGTTCGTTGTCGACTTTCAAGCCTGGGAATCCTATGAGGGCACTGCGTTTTCCGAAGGGGGGGGGACGTCGGAACATAGATAGTACCATGGGATCGTGTGGTTTACTGCACTGCATTCCCTCACCCCTGCGCGCGGCTGGGCTGCATGGGTAAGCACGGGAGGGAAGAAACTAGGTTGAGGCCCCGTTCTTACCCGCGCGCGGTTGGGGCGACATGGGAAGCAAGGGGGGTGGGGCGACGATTTAGGAAGCAATGGGAGACGGACTTGCACTGGATGGAGGATGCGTGATGGGGGGGGGGGGGGGGGGGGGGGAGGCGGGCAGATCTCATGTTTTCAAGGTTCGTTGCCGATGTTAAAGTCTAGGATTCCTATAAGGCCCCTGCGGGTTCCTGAAGGGGGGAGGCGTCGGAACATACATATATCGTGTGGATTTGCGGTTTACTGAACTGCTGTCCCTCACCCCTGTGCGCGGTTGGGCTGAATGGGTAAGCACGGGAGGGAGGGCGACGATCTGCTCGAGCAAGCGAAGAAGTCGGATTTGCAATGGATGGATGGGCAATCATCTGCACACCTGCGACTTCGTGCCCAATCCGCACGGCGCGTCGCGAGATGGGGGGGCGGCAGAGGGCGGGGGGGGGCAGGGGGTGGAGGACAAGGAGGGGTTGAGCGGGGAAGAGGGAGGAAGGAGAAGGAGGAGGACGGGGGCGGGCAGGATGAGGGGGAGGGAGGATGAAGATAAGGAGGAAGTGGATCAGGATAAGCAGAAAGAAGGAAGGAGGAGGATGGACGGGGCCCCAGCTCACTCGCGAAGGAAATGCATTGCGTCATTCAACTGCGCATGCGTCATGATCCGATTCTCGAGGTTCAAGGCTGCGACCTGGCCCTCAAGGTCCACGAGCCTGGTGGTCACGTTCTCGAGATCGGTCTGCAAGAGAAGGTTGATCGACTCAAGGTCGCGGATGGCCTCGAGATCTCAACCCTTTCTGCACGGGAGGTGGAGGAGGGCAAGGACGAAATAAGGAGGAGGAGGAGGAGGAGGAGGAGGAGGAGGAGGAGGAGTCAATCTCCATCAACCCTTCTTCCACATCCCCCCCCTCCTGTTCCGACTCCCACCGCTCGCCTGCGCCATGTGCTCGTGCGATGCCGTCGCAGCCTGGAAGACCATTGAGAGGGCCGATGCAAGGGCCGTGATGCCATCCTTGCCCTTGCCCTTGCCCTGGCCGATGCCCTCTGCCTCAGCTGCTTCGAATGCATGGTCGACTGCCTCCTCGAGCGTAAAGTCCACGTGCTTGCCTTTGGAGCCTGTGCCCTTGCTATTGCCCTTGCTCTTGCCCTTGTCATGCCCCGGGGGATCGGTTTCGTCGCTCTTGCTCTTGCCCGTGCCCTTTCCCTCACCCTTGCTGCTGCTCGCATGCGGGCTTCTGGACCGCGATCTTGTTTGATCGCATGCTCGTAAGAAAGAGCACCAAGGCGCCATTGCGCCTGGGCCCGAGGGGCGGAGGGTGGCACCGAGGCTCGAGCAAGTATAGCTCTCGGCGAAGCGACCATCCCTCTCTCGCTCCCCCCACTTCTTTTCGCATGGCCCGGGTCTGTTTTCATTCTCGCTACCTCTCTCTCTCTCTCTCTCTCTCTCT